AAAAAAAAAAAAAACCCCCCCCAAAAAAAAAAAAAAAAAAACCACCAAATTTGGGGATGGTTTTATCCCAGAACCCCAACACTGAAATTTTTGGGGTCTTGCTTTCCTTGCCCTGAAGAAATCCATTTATTTGAGATCCAGCAGAACCTTCCTGCCCCATTCCCTGGGCTTTCCCTATGGATAAGGAAGATTTTTAGGTTCAGCACCTCTAGAGTTTTTGGAAGCATTTGGATCCTTGAAAATGGGGAAAAAGGAATGAAAAATAATCCATAAAAATAATTATTTCCTTGAAAAATCTTATTTATGTTGAGGAAAAAAGTAGCAAACAAACTCTTCCCTGTCTCTTCTGCCTGCAGGCTGTGGAGGTGAGTTGGGAAGGATGTCCATGGAAAAGGGTAAGTCTGGGAATTCTTGCAGGAAAGGATCTTCTCCTTGCCCCAAACCAGCCCAAAACTGCAAGTGAGAAGTTGTTTTTAGGAATAAATGGGGTTTTTTTCTGGGATTCAGTGCAGAGAATGTTGGATCACCAACAACTTTTGGATGTTGGTTTGAGGGGGATGGGTCTTCCTGGGAGGAATCTGAGGGATCAGAGGGATACATGGAAGTCTCCTGTTTTCACCCTCTCCTCCAGGACATGATCAAATCCCTCCCTGACTCCCAGTTTTTAAAGCTGAGCCCACAGAAATCCCAATCCTCGCCCACACAATTCTGGGATTTTTCCATCATCCCAAACCATTCCTCAGGATGAGCTCCAGGGCTCATGGAATCCTCAAATCCAATGGTCCACAGAGCCTGGAGAGCTCATCTGCCCACCCCAAACCACTGGATTCATCTTCAGTGGCCCTCAATCCACAGGTCTGGAGGTGGCTGAAGTCCACAGGCGGCTCCATGGGTATTCCCAGGCGCGGGAATACGCTGGGAATGGTGGAAATTGGGAAGAAAAGCTTGGCACAACTCATGGCAAGACCACGGTGAAGCCCTTCATGGAGCCACCTCTACTCCTTGCAGGTGAGTTCAGCTTCTTCCTCCCATCTTTCCAACCATGGAATCCTCTGGAGCGTTCTGTGATAAATCCTATTCCCTGGAATTGGGCAGGGATGAGGCAGGGATGGGATTCCCAGTGAGGGCTCCCACGCTCTTGGAGATGACACAAGCCAATGCCCCTGGAAGGTGAGGAAAACCTAAATATTCATGGGATCAGTGGTGATCCCAACCTTCCACAGGGTTTCTTTTCAAAAGCTGGGAGGAAGCAGCCGTTTCCAGGCTGATTTTGTCCCACTTTTCCCACCACATCCTTGGTAAGTTCCAGTAAAACTTCCAGCCATGCAGAAATGGCATCTCTGAGATCAAACATCCCAGACTATTTCTGTCCAGGGCCTCGTAAAGGTTGTAATAAAGGATAAAACCACAGCTTAAAAACATGGAAAAACATGTTTTCCACAGGCTTTTCCTCGTGGAAAAACAACTGGAGCTGTTCGTGTTAGTGTTTTCCAAGAGGGAAAATACTCCAATGCTCCAATGCTCCAATGCTCCAAATTCCAGTCTAAGAGGGAGTTGAACTCCATGATCCTTCCAACACCTTCTAAATTAGGACATGGAATGGTTTGGGATGGAAAGGATCTTAAAAATCATCCAATTCCAGGCCAAGGGGTCCAACAGAGAGTTGGATTCCAGGGTTTTTAGAGGCCTCTGTCCAGTTTGGGACATGGAATGGTTTGGGATGGAAGGGGCCTTAAAAATCGTCCAATTCCAAGGCAGGGATTCCAACAGAAAGTTGGACTCGATGGTCTTCATTGATCCCTTTGAATTTGAGACATGGAATGGTTTGGGATGGAAGGGCCTTAAAAATCATCCAATTCCAGGCCAAGGGGTCCAACAGAGATTTGGATTCCAGGGTTTTTACAGCCTCCTTTCCAACTTGAGGCATGGAATAGTTTGGGTTGGAAGGGGCCTTAAGGATCATCCAATTCCAAGCTCATATTCTACGATTCCATGATTCTCCAGGATGGAGAGCTTTGGGAAGAGCTTTGGGGAGGGTTTTAAGTCAAACCCATGGATGATGGCCCCATGTAAGGAATGAACACATCCCAAAAAATCCAGCCAAAACTAGAACCAAACCCCAGCAATCCCCACTCCCCTCCCGCCCCACTCCGGGCGCTCTCCCGACGTCTGTGCCGGACGTCAAAGTCTCCCATCAGGATCTAAACTCGATTTATACCACGGCAGCGCTGGGGATCAGATGGATGGGACATTCCAGGTGTTATCAAATCACGGCAGCAGCCAACAATCCCATTAAAAGCTGGGGCTGAGGCAGGAGGGCTCATAAATCCCTCTGCTAAGTGACGAGCGCGGAGCGGCTCCAAATGTTAACAGGATTCTGCAGCCGGAGCGTTATTGCCGCCAGATTCCAATCGCTCCCGGCTTTTCCGAGCCTCCCGAACTCCAGCCTGACATTTATCTCAGGCAAACAACCACCAACACTTCCATTTTCTCTGACGAACGCCCAACCTTTCCCACGGAGTTGTTTAACACCATTAAGGGTTTTATTGCCGCCGGTTCCTTGCTGCCCGTGGCCGGTTGCTCCGTGACATTTATTAGGAGAACTCGTTAGGCTCCACGGAAGGCTCCAAGGATCTTTATTTAAATGAGGGATAATTTGTTTGCACGCCCTCATTCCGTGTGATTTCCTTGGCTTTTTTCCCCCCCAGCCCCGGCGCAGCAGACGGCGGGAGCCTCTCAGGGAGAAGCCAGCAGCCAATTACCAGGTGAAAAGCTGGGAATTAAGTGGCATTTTGGGAAGTCACTTCCCAGGTGGCTTGGCCTTGGGATCAAGGGATGTGGCACTGAAGGAGTTACACAAGGTTAAACCTCAGTTTGGGCTTGGCTTAAAGCAGCTGGGTTTGCCCCAGGGGTGTTGAGCTGGTGGTGAAGGAATTGGAGGGGGTTTTGATCCAGAGAAACACACTGGGAAGATCCTCCTGGAATTCCCTGAGTGCAAACATTCCTGGGAAAATATCCCACCCGGAATCCAGGGTTTAACAATCCCTTTGAAAAGGTCAGGGGCCTCCATGGTGAGAATCACAGTGATGGATGATGGAGCAACACAGAGCTCATCCCACGCTGGGAATCCACTGCTGGATGTGCCCTTTGTCCACTCTGGGAATCCACTCCTGGATCTTCCCATTGTCCCCTCTGGGAATCCAGTGCTGGATCCCCCCTTTGTCAACTCTGGGAATCTACTCTAATTCCTTCCTTTGTTTAATATGGGAATCCACTCCTGGATGTCCCCATTTTTCCACTTTGGGAATCCAGTGCTGGATTCCCTCCTCTGTCCACTCTGGGATCCATCCCACGGGTGGGTGTGGGGTGTTTTCCAGAGCAAATCCAATCCATGGACTGTTACGGGGATGTTTTCCAAAGTGTGGCCTTTTCCCACCTGGATCCAGCCCCTGGATGCTTGTGGGGTGTTTTCCAGAATGGATCCAACCCATGGGGAGGTGTGAGGGTGTTTTCCCACCTGGAGCCAAGCCATGGGGAATGTGGGATTGGGCAGGAATGAGGCCCAGATCCAATCCATGGGAATTGTGGGGTGTTTTCCCACTGGGATCCAACCCATGGGAATTGTGGGGTGCTTTCCCACTGGGATCCAACCCATGGGAATTGTGGGGTGCTTTCCCACCCCGATCCAACCCATGGGAATTGTGGGGTGTTTTCCTGCAGCCCGGTGCCTGCAGCCCATGGATGAGGGCTCCTGCCAGCACCATTCCCTGCTCTGGTACTTCCATGGCCCCACCAACTCCTGCCGGCCCTTCCTGTTCGGGGGCTGCCGAGGGAACAGCAACCGCTTCCCATCCCGGCGGGAATGCCAGCGCCGCTGCCAGAGCTCCCCAGGTGAGGCTGGGCCCTCCAAATTCCCTCTTCCTCCAGCCAGCAGCAGGAAAGCCCATCCAGGATTTGCCCACTGCCCCTTCTTTAAGGTGGAAGTGCCAGGAAGTTGCAGGGTTTTCTTCTCTGCCCATTCCCAGATCATTCCCAGGAGCTCCTGGACATCTCCCCTGGGCTAATTCCAAGGGTGGGGTGGGCATGGATTGTGCATGGATCCACCTGGACACCAGGTCCTGATGTTTTGGATGTCTTTTGTCCTTTCCAAGGACTGACATTTTGCAGGAATTTGGAGATTTTGTGCCCTCAAAACCCTGGAATGTTCCATCCAAGCAGACTCTGGCATCTCCAGGCAGATCCTGAAGTCTAACCTAGACCAGTTTAGGTCTGGATTAACATCCCAGGGTTGGGGTCTCACCTCGTCCAGGGGTTCAATGGGAAAATCTCCTGGAAGCACAGCTTGGCTTCCATTGCCAGATCCAGGGGTTTCGGGATCGGTTTGTGTGGATTTTCCCTCATCTCCAGGTCATCCCAGGGAAAATGGGGCCTGGCAGGAATGCAAACCCTGCTCCAAGCAGGGCAGGAGCTGTGACTGATCCCAGCCTCCCAAGGAAAATATTCCTCTCTCGGAACTCCCTCTGCCTGGAGACCTTTGGAAAAAAATCCGTGAATTCTCCACAATCCATTAAATAAAATCTCTGTTGAGGTTCATCTGTTCTGGGTTTGAGGGAAACTTAAAAAAGAGAGAGGAATTAATGGCTCAGATCCATAATTTTGGAAACCACTCCAAGGGCTTGAAATCCAGGCCCAGCAGCACCAGGAAATGAGTGAAGCTCCTCCTGCCCAATTTTTTTTCCAGGAAATTTGCTTTAGGAGCCACTGGGAACTTCACAAAGCAGCTGAAGGTACCTCCAGCACAGTTTGTGGGAAGAAACAACCACTGGGAATGGGATTAATCCCAATCCAAGACAGATCCCTGAGTCCTCCATGTGCCTATTTTCCCTGACTGACCCCAACCAGAGCCAGGATCCAGCCAGGATTGGGATATTTGCTTTTTGTGGATGTGGGATGGGACAATCCCATGGTGTCAGGGACCTCCGGGGCCACTGTGAGCTTGGGAATTCCAAGAGGGAGCCCAAACTGCAGCCAACATTCCCATTGTTTCCTCTTCCCTCTTTTTCCCAAACCAGGCAGAGGGAGATGAGCAGCTCCAAGTGTTTAATTTAAATCCAACGGGATTGGGAGGAGTGACTCCGACACCTCCGGGATGGACAAGGAAAACAAACAGCAAGACGTTGGAAAAAAGATGTCAGAAAACCGGAATTATGGACATTATGGGATGAGGAGAGGGAAACCTCTGGATGTTCAGGCAAAGGAGGATGGGAAGGGCAGAATTCCTGAGCCAAACCAGGTGGCACAAATTCCTGAGTTTTATTTTTGTAAAATAAAAGTCTCAATGCTGTGGAATTCTGAGGCACTCGCCTGGAAGAGGGAAACCTTGGGAATGGCAGAGAAAGGTGGGAACATCTATTTTTCCAGCTGGATCAGGTGGATCCCCATCCCTTTTGGCCTGGCCCTAAATTCCCGGGGGCCTTTAGGAATTCCCACCCTCTCCTCACTTGGGAATTCCCACCATCTCCTCCATCTGGGAATTCCCTGGGCAGGTTAAAAGGAGCTATCCCAAAATCCCCCCAAAAAAAATTGCGATCCAAACCAGGCTTCTCCCTAAAAAATGCCACTTCCAATTCCTCGAGGAGCTTGGAGCTGCAATTTTTGGAAATCCAAGAAGAGGTGTGCAAATCCAGTAAGAATGATTCCAAATCCTGGGATTTTGATCCCATGGAGACACAGACACAGCTGAGAGGGGTCCTGCTCCAAGGGACAATCCCTGGGAAATGTTACAGGATTTGCAATGGGAAAACAGGGATTTATTAAAAGTTTTCCATGTAATTTGGTAAAACTGAGCTCAGATTTCCAAGGTTTCAGCGTTCTCACGTTTCAAATTTCCTGGGATTTGGGGTTGGCTCTTTGCTCCTGGTAGCACAGTAGGAAAAGGGTTCTCCTCACTCCCAAAATCCCAGGATTCTCCTCGTCCACAACATCCCAGGAACTGAGGAGGGAGGAGCAGAGATTTGGGGACATTTCTTCCTTTTCCTCTCCCAAAAAAAAGAAAACCATGGAATTTTGTAAGCCTTGGCAAGGAGCCATTTCCAGAGTGACAATTCCAGCCTCTCCTCCTGAAATCCTGGTCTGTCCTGAGATGTTCTTGGGGAGGAAAAACATTCCAGAAAAATATTCCCTAGGAAAAGAAACAAAATGTTCCCGGTGGGAAAAGCAGCATCAGCCGGAAGGGAGGGATTGGGCTTTTCCACAGGCCTTGGGAACAAGTGGAATTCTGAGAAACATTCCCACATTTTCCCATTTTCCTGGTTTCCCTGTGTGAATTTACCCAGGAATGCTGAAGGATGCTGATCTTGGGATGCTGCACCCTCTGGAATTTGGCATCTCAGGAAATATGGAATGAGTGGAATTCCAGCCCCAAGGGAGCTGAGACCATCCAGGGAAATAAAGGATTTGAAATCATCTCATTCCCAAATTAAATGGGAAAAAATGATCAGGGAAACCGGCTTGGAGGAGCCACAGGTTCCCTGGTTGGAAAGTAAAATCATGGAATGCTTTGGATTGAAGGGACTTTAAGGATTATCCAATTCCACTCCTGCCATGGACAGGGAAACTTCTGCTATCCCAGGCTGCTCCAGCCTGCCCTTGGACATTCCAGGGATGCAGGGGCAGCCCCAGCTGCTCTGGCAATTCCAGCCCAGCCAGGAATTCCTCATTCCCAAGATCCCATCCATCCCTGCCCTATCCCAGTTTAAAGCCATTCCCTGTGTCCTATTGCTCCATATTAAAAATCCTCTTCCTTCCATTCCATTAAGGATAACAACCTAGTCAATAATTAAGTGCTCATTAAGAACTCAAAGTGGAATTTTTTCCCAAATCCAAGAGCAAAAATCCCTCATTCCCCCTGTGGATCTCTTGGGAGGTTCTTCCCAACTCCTTTGGATGCTCCAGGACCAGGAGGCCAAATCCTTTCCAGCCTTTAGGATTTGGGATTTGGAGGCAAAAGTTGTGGGAAGTTCTCACTGAGGCTGAGGAGACGCCAAGCAGCAGAAATTCCATGAAAATCCTTTTTAGAGCTGGGAATCCACAGGGCTGGAGGCAGCAGGAGGGGAGGAACATACCTATGGGATTTGGGAGCCTGAGGAAATTCCCTTCCTGTGTTGTTATTCCCAGAAATGTTTGGACAATCCCTTCATTTTCCCTTTCTGGCCCAGTGCCATCCCTAAAAATCAGACCTCACCTCCCTGGCTTTGGAATTTCTCAGCAGCTTTTGTCTCCAAATCCCAAATCCAAGGCTGGAAAAGGATTTGGCCTCCTGGTCCAGGAGCATCCAAAGGAGCTGGGAAGAGCCTCCCAAGGGAATGATTTGGCTCAAAACCCTCCACCAAAATCCACATTCCTGAGGGATCCAAGTGATTTAATCCAGGTTTGGAAGAGCTGGGAAGTGAAAACCGATATTTAGGCAGGCCTAAGGTCGAGCTCAGCGGATTAAACCCAGCTCAAATTCCCATCAGAGCTCAGGGGAAACTGAGAACTGGAATTTTTTTTAATCCCCCCTGGATTAATCAAATGTTCCCTACGGATTTGCCATCCAGGATTTGGCATGGCCACAGCATTCCGGGAAAGGAGCCCCAGCATTTCCCTGGAAATGTCAGGGCAGCCTAATTGAGTTCCTTGAAATTACCTCAGGGCAGGAGTGGGGGGAGAGGTTTTAGGTTTTCTGGTGGCTTTCCAGGCTCCAAAGCAGAAAATTCCTGAGCATCCTTTGGAGAAAGCCAAGCTGGGCAGTGGAAATCTGGGATTTAAAGCACATCAAGCCAGCTCACAAACCCTCATGGAATCTGGAAATAAATAAAGAGGGATTTTGGATCAGGATTTGTGGCTCAGAGATGCGAATCCATGGATTTAGGAGCACTCCCAGCCCCTCTCCAGGAGGGGATTCCTGGAATATTGGATGTTGGAATATGGATTTCCTGCATCCAGCCAGGGAACCTTGAAATCTCCCGGCCGCAGCCTCCGATGTCCGCGGCAGTTCCTAAGCAACCCCGACGAAGGAAAAGGGATGGAGAGGGAGGAGAGGCTGGCTCGGGATAATTTGGTAATTGGATAACGAGCCAGCCCTGGAATGGCCACGGCTGAGCCTCACCCAGCAGCCTCTGGATGTGCCCGGAGATCGGATCGGATCCGTCGGGAAGGAGCCGACAAAATCCTGCCAGATGGAAAAGCAGCCCGGGAAATCCCTGCTGGTGCTCCCAGCTGGAATCGGGCTCGTTAATTATGGATCTTTACAGTGGGAGCAATTAAAGATGCTGTTAATGGAGGGCTGGATTTAATCCTGGAATGGTTGGGTTGGAAAGGATCCTAAAGCTCGTCCCATGGGCAGGGACACCTCCCACGATCCCAGGTCGTTCCAAGCCTCATCCAACCTGGCCTAAATCTTGGAAAAGTCTCTGTGACTCCCTCCATCCTCTCCGGGAGATTTTCCTGCCATCCACAGTCCTTTTGGGGTGAAATCCCCATCCCTGTCCCCAAATCCTATCCATGTTCCCAAATCCCATCCATGTTCCCAAATATTCATCCCTGTTCACAAATCCCCATCCCGTTCCCAAATATCCATCCCTGTTCCCAAATCCCCACCCATGTTCCCAAATCCCCATCCCTGTTCCCAAATCCCATCCATGTTCCCAAATATCCATCCCCACCCCTGTTCCCAAATCCCCATCCCCTTCCCAAATCCCATCCATGTTCCCAAATCCCCATCCCTGTCCCCAAATTCCCATCCCTGTTCCCAAATCCCCATCCCTGTTCCCAAATCCCCACCCCTATTCCCTAATCCCCATCCCCATCCCTATTCCCAAATCCCCATCCCTGTTCCCAAATCCCATCCATGTTCCCAAATCCCTATCCCTGTTCCCAAATCCCCACCCCTGCTCCCAAATCCCCATCCCCACCCCTGTTCCCAAATCCCCATCCCCTTCCCAAATCCCATCCATGTTCCCAAATCTCCACCCCTGTTCCCAAATCCCCATCCCCATCCCTATTCCCAAATCCCCATCCCTATTCCCAAATCCCCACCCCTATTCCCAAATCCCCATTCATAATCCATTTTTTTTTTTGCCCTGGAAGGCAAAAAAAAAAAAAACCCTTGGAAAATCCTGGAAAACCTTCAGTGCCAGGCAGGAAAGGGGGAAAAATCAGGATGGGCTTGTCCCCGGAGATCCAAGGAGAAATCCCACCCCGGGCTGTTTGTCCTGGCTCCATTTGGCACCTGAAACCACCTGGAAAATCCCAAAAAAATCCTGGAAAGGCACCAAAACCCACCTGGAGGGAATGAAACATTCCCTGAGCTTTTCCAGCCTTTTCCAGCTGCTGCAGTGGGATCAGATCCCAGTTCTGGGTGCAGGAAAAAGCAGGAGCAGCTCCAAGACTCAGATCCTTGGGATAAAAGCGGATTTTCCATTGGGACACAGAAAATCAGGGAAAATTCCCGGAATGTGAGCGATGATCCAGGCTCCCTTCACAAATCCCTGGATGTTTTGTCTGTACTGCCCACGTGGTGGCCAGGGAGGTGCAAAAATCCCTTTGGAAAATGGGCAGGAATTGCAACGGAGGGGAAGAAATAAAAACATTCCAGGAAAATTTGGAGGATTTGGGATTATTTTTTCTCTTCCACCACTTTTTTCCTCCTCTTCCTTTGGAGGGAAAGCAGCAAAATCCAAATTTAATTCCAAGTTTAATTCCAAATTTAATTCCAAGTTTAACCCAAAATTTAATTCCAAGTTTAATTCCAAATTTAATTCCAAGTTTAACCCAAAATTTAATTCCAAGTTTAATTCCAAATTTGGGATTTTTTTGGAGTTCTTGGGGTGGAATGACCCCAAATCCCTGATTTTCCCTGGCAAAACTTCCGGGATTTGGGATTTTTTTGAAGTTCCTGGGGTGGAATGACCCCAAATCCCTGATTTTCCCTGGCAAAACTTCTGGGATTTGGGATTTTTTTTGAAGTTCCTGGTGTGGAATGACCCCAAATCCCTGATTTTCCCCAGCTTGTGGAGATGAAATTTTAATGATCCCTGAGCAATGATTCACTCCTGGAAATTCAGCTCGGGGGAAAGGTGAGGAGAGGTGGAATCCCAGGGAAGTGAGGGATTGCTCCTCACTTCCTGCATTTTTCATAAATTTGGGACTTTTTCAGGGAAACTTTTGGGAAGTTTGACGCCTCCAGGTCCTGTGGGTGCCCTTAGATGTTCCTGGCTCAGCTCGCTCCTTCCCAAGGGATATTTTGATGGAATTTTCCCTTGGAAACACAATTTTCCTGCAGCAAATTCTCCTCCCACAGTGAGGAATTCCAAACCATGGCAGCCAAAAAAGCTGGATTTGCTTTTCAAGGGATGAACCAGGAAATTCCTTCTTTTTTCTGCTTCTCTTCCCTATTTTTTCTTAATAAAACCACTCTGAAATTTCCATGTGTGAAACACAGAAAATTCCATATCTAGAGCATGGATTTGCCTCCTCCAAGGACATTTTCCTTTCCCAACAAAGGTTTTTGTGGGAAAATAAATTTGTGGGTGAATAAAACTCAGGAAAACAGCCCAGGATGGGATCCAGAGGTGGAAAAATCTCTCAGTCCCATGCCCTGATCCTTTTCCTTGGAAAAATCCCTCACGTGGATTTTCCCACCCAGTTCCTTGTGCTGGAGTTGCCTGGGAGTTTTCTTTCCCAGAAACAGCTCCAAAACTCCCAACATTTGGAGAAAAAAATTCCCTTTCAGCCCTCAGGGGAGGAGGGAAACCAAAACCTCATTCCAGGAGGTGGAAACTCCGAGTTGAGGTGGGAAAGGAAGGAATTGCTGGAGAGGAGGATCCCAACTGGGCAGAATTCCCAAGGTTTGGAGGCAAAGGGAAGCTCCCACCATTCCCAGCTCAGATCCTGGCTCCTCATCCAGGAATTCCCACAGTTCTGGCTCCTTCTCTCCAGGCTGGGAGTGGGAACATCTCCCCAGCCTAAATCAGAGCCCATCCCGGCTCTCTGCTGGCTCCAGGGGTTTCTCCAGGGATTTTCCCCACTTTTAGCAGGATTTGCCCCATTCCCAGCGATAACTGCTCCCCTCCAGCTCAGCAAAGGCTTTTCCAAGGAAGTTCCAGAAAGGAATTTTGGATAATTTGGTCCTGGAGCCTCCAGGAGAATCCAAACCAGCCACAAATCCATGTGGCACCCTTTGGAGAGACCGGAGATCTTCCTTGGTTCACATGGAAAAATCCCTGGTCCCAAATCTCCATCCCCATCCCTGCTCCCAAATCTTCATCCTTGTTCTCAAATCTCCATCCGTGTTCCCAAATCTCCATCCTTGTTCCCAAATCTCCATCCTTGTTCCCAAATCTCCACCCTTCTTCCCAAATCTTCATCCCTATCCCTGCTCCCAAATCCCCATCCTTGCTCCCAAATCTCTATCCCCAACCCTGGTTCCAAATCTCCATCCCCATCCCCATTCTGATCTCCATCCTGATCCTCTTCTGCTCCCAAACCTTGGGGAATTCCAGGAGTTTCCTCTCTGGGTTTACTGGGACCAGTCTGGTGCTGGGAGCCCAAACTGGGAATTTTCCCCACCTGCTGTTTTGGGATGATCCCAGTTAATCCTGCTGGAGTTTTAGGGAATTGGAGCTTTTTCCCCTCATCCCACACCTCGTCCTTCCCATCCTCTCCCAAAGCTTCACCTGGGATCGTGCAAACAAATCCTGGAAGAAGTTTCCCAAAAAAATCTCCATTTTTCCAAGAGTTTCCCTGCATGAGTGGGAAGAGAAAATTCCCTGGAAATGGGAAAAACAGGGGAAAACCCTTCCAAATCCCCACTCTGGGAACAAAACCACATTCTTTGGGATAACCTCAACCCATGGCATCCTCAGAGCCGGAAAAACCTTTGGAATTAAAACATCCCTGTCCCCAAAACCCCGGGGACGAAGCCGTGCGTGATCCTCCAGAATCCCAGCACTGACGCCAGCCCCACTTTGGGGTGACTCTTCCCAGATTTTGGGATCCGACGTCTTTTTTGCCCCCCACACCCCCTCCCCAATTCCCGGTTTTTTCCCTGCGGATGGGGAGAGGCTCCGTGACGTCGCTGGCTCGCTCTGATCTCATCTTAATGAAATCATTCCCAAGCCAAGGCTCCGCGTCTGGAATCACGACTCCAACCCCGTGATCCCTGGCTTTTTTATAAATACACCAGGGAGGGGGGAAAAGGTTTCCAGAGAGAGGGAAAAAAATATCCCAGTCCCTGGGAAAAACAAGCAGGGAGGAGAAGTTTGGGAAAGGCTCCTGATGCCTCTTTCCTGGGAGTGATTCCACGGCAAATCCTTCCATCCCAAGCATCCAGGAGAAGCAGGTGAGTGCCTGGATTTCATTTATTCCCCCATCTGCAGAAACTTTAAATATTTCAGGGTTTTCCTTGGGAAATCAGATTCCAGGGGTTTTTTTTTTTTTAGGGACTGAGAGACTTTTCCACCTCCGGATCCCATCCTGGGCTGTTTTCCTGAGTTTTATTCCCCCACAAATTTGTTTTCCCACAAAATCTTTGTTGGGGAGGGAAAATGTCCTTGGAGGAGGGAAATCCACGCTCCAGGCATGGAATTTTCCAGGTGTTTTCTTTTTTCAGGGAAAAAAAATAGGCAAGGTAGGGAAAAGCAATCCAAGATATTTTGATATCAAGGGATTCATAATTCCCCTCGCCCTCCCTCCTAGGAAAAACAATTTTTTTTTTAATTATTATTATTCCAGCAATTTTGGGAGGCAGACTGGGATAGGCAGCATGGGAAGGATTGGGAAATCTTGGGAAAAGGAAAATTAGGGAGATAAATCCCTGCTGTCACTGCAGGGATGGGGAGGAGAGCGAGGCACAGCCACCCCCTCCCACCGAGCCCGCCTGGATTTTGGGAATCATCCCCGGGAAAAGCTTACGGGGGAAGAACCAGACAGAGTTTAAGGAGTCTCCAGATCCCATTCCCAGATTTATCCCGGACTTACTCGGGAAAATCGCGCTCCATCCCGTCCTCTGCCGCAGGGAGAGGCAGCGATCCCGGTTTTCCTGGCTGGAATGAGGCGCTTTTCTCCTTCCCAGCCGAGCTCCGGGAGCTTTATCAGGGTCGGCAGCATCCCGATAAAATTCCCGGCAAACGCTCCCGGCTGTCCCGGCAATTCCCGGCGGGAGGAGCGGCTCCGGCAGCGCGGATTTCATTCCCATTTCCTCAGATCCATCGCTGGTGCTTTTCCTCCTTTTCCTGCTTTTTTTTTTTCTTTCTTTTAGCAAGGAGGAATCCCCCAAATCCAGCTTTTTTTCCTGCTCCATAAAAACTTCCCGGAGCGGAAGGGCACAACCTCTCCCCATTCCCGGTAAAAATAAACCCAATCCCAAAAAAAAAAATCAGCTTTTCCTTGGTTTTTTCCTTGATTCCTGCTGCTTTTGCCAGGATATCCATCCCGGCGAGGAGCAGGAATGGGTGTGGATGGCTTCAGCCGCGTTTTCCCTTTGCTCAGCTGAGATTCCCGGAGTTTTGTTGAGTGGGAAAAGCTGGAAAAATCCCAGGAAAAGGCGCTGGATTCAGCCCGAGATGAGGGAGATGCTGCTCCGGGATTCCAGGGCTCTCCCAGGAGCTTTGCCAGCTCTGGAAGGGTTTTGGGGGATATTTCCATTCCCCATCCAGGATTTGGGGTGAGAAAATCCCCGATCCCTGAATTCCCATCCCATCCTGCAGGGTGGAGGGAGGTGAAACACAGCTGGGAAAAAAAAAAAAAAAAAAAAAAAAGGGAATTTTGGGGTGGGAGGAATCTTCATCCCGAGTTTTTTGAGATCCCAGCCTTGGATCACATGGAAAAATCCCCGTTCCCAAAATCTCCAGCCCCTTTTCCAAGAAAAATTAAATCCTGGGATACGTTCATGTTTAAATGGCCAAATGTGGGATTTGGGGCTGGAGGAAAGTTTGGGATTCAAAATGATCCCATGTGGGGGTTTTCCTCCCTTGATCCTGCAGGAAAAGCTTTCCTTGGATCAATCCATGGCTGCTCCTCTTCCTCTCCCATCCCGATCCAGGGGAAGGTGGAGGGGATGGATTTTGGGGTTTGGGGAAGGGGTGAGATGGGAGGCAAAGAAATGGAAATGGAGCAGATCCCTAAAATCCTGAGGGAGGATTGGCACGGCCAAATCTCCCCTGGGGAAGGAGGGAAAGGGAAGAGTTCAGGGAATGAACTTCCCAAATCTCTCCCCTTTTCCATGGAGAGCAAAGAGCAGAGGTAAAGGGATGAACCTCCCCAAAATTCCCACTCTGAGGAACTGCAAAAGGGCACATTTAAGGGGAAAGACCTTCCCAAAATTCCCTCTCCAAAGGATGGAAGAGGGAAGTATTGAAGGGATAAACCTTCCCAAAATTCCCACTCCATGGCATAGCAAAAGGCAGAATTTAGGGGATAAAACTTCCCAAATCTCTCCTTCCCTGGACACTAAAGGAGAGAATTAAGGGAATAAACCTGCCCAAAATTCCCACTCTGAAGAACAGCAAAGGGCAAATTTAAGGGGAAAGACCTTCCCAAAATTCCCTCTCCAAAGGATGGAAAAGGGAAGTATTGAGGGAATAAACCTTCCCAAAATTCTCCCTCCAAGGAATGGCAAAAGGCAGAATTCAGAGGATGAAACTTCCCAAATCTCTCCCTCAACAGACAATAAAGGGCAGAGTTCATGGGAATAAACCTGCCCAAAATTCCCACTCCAAGGAACAGCAAGAGACAGAATTTAGAGGATAAAACTTTCCAAAATTCCCCCTCTGAGGAACAGCAAAGGGCAAATTTAAGGGGAAAAGACCTTCCCAAAATTCCCTCTCCAAAGGATGGCAATAGGCAGAATTTAGAGGATAAAAATTCCCAAAGCTCCCACTCTACTGGCAATAAAGGGCAGAGTTAAGGGAATAAATCTGCCCAAAATTCCCTCTGCAAGGAATGGCAAAAGGCAGAATTCAGAGGATGAAACTTCCCAAATCTCTCCCTCCATGGACAAAAAAGGGCAGAATTAAAGGGAATAAACCTGCCCAAAATTCCCACTCCAAGGGATGGAAAAGGGCAGAGTTAAGGGGATAAAACTTCCCAAAATTCCCTTTCCAAAGGATAGAAAAGGGTAGAATTTAGGGGATAAAACTTTCCAAAATTCCTCTCCAAGGAATGGCAAAAGGCAGAATTTAGAGGATGAAACTTCCCAAATCTCTCCCTCCATGGACAATAAAGGGCAGAATTAAGGGAATAAACCTGCCCAAAATTCCCACTCTGAAGAACAGCAAAGGGCAAATTTAAGGGGAAAGACCTTCCCAAAATTCCCTCTCCAAAGGATGGAAAAGGGAAGTATTGAGGGAATAAACCTTCCCAAAATTCTCCCTCCAAGGAATGGCAAAAGGCAGAATTCAGAGGATGAAACTTCCCAAATCTCTCCCTCCCTGGACAAAAAAGGGCAGAATTAAAGGGAATAAACCTGCCCAAAATTCCCACTCCAAGGGATGGAAAAGGGCAGAGTTAAGGGGATAAAACTTCCCAAAATTCCCTTTCCAAAGGATAGAAAAGGGTAGAATTTAGGGGATAAAACTTCCCAAAGTTCCTCTCCAAGGAATGGCAAAAGGCAGAATTTAGAGGATGAAACTTCCCAAATCTCTCCCTCCCTGGACAATAAAGGGCAGAATTAAGGGAATAAATCTTCCCAAAATTCCCACTCCAAGGGATGGAAAAGGGCAGAATTAAGGGAATAAACCTGCCCAAAATTCCCCCTCCACGGACAGGGAAGGGCAATTTTAGGGATGGTGGCTCAGCAGGTGACAGATCCCAGACCGAGGATGGAGTTTGGATGGATCTGAGGAACATTCCCAGGGCTATTCCCAAGAGCTCCTGCTGCTCCGCAAGCCCCCATGGGATGAAATCAGCCGCTCCCAACCCCAAAATCCGGGATGGAATTCCAGCCCCGGCTGAGGTCCCCGCCATCCCTGGGGACTGTCCCCGGCCAGGAATTGCCGTGCGAGCCGCTGGCCGCAAGATGGGGCCAGAAGATTGGGAATGTCAGAGGATTCCAGGTTTTGGGAACGGCAGCAGGAGTCCAGGGTTTTGCATATGCCAGCAGGATTTCAGGGTTTTGGGAATTCTAGAAGGATTCCAGGGTTTTGGGAATGCCAGCAGGATTTCAGGGTTTTGGGAATAGCAGCAGGAGTCCGGGGTTTGGGGAATGCCAGCAGGAGTCCAGGGTTTTAGGAATGGCAGCAGGATTCCAGGTTTTTGGGAATGCCAGAGGATTCCAGGTTTTTGGGAATTCCAGCAGGTTTTCAGGGTTTTGGGAATTCCAGAGGATTCCAGGGTTTTGGGAATTCCAGCAGGTTTTCAGGGTTTTGGGAATTCCAGAGGATTCCAGTGTTTTGGGAATGCCAGCAGGATTCCAGGGTTTTGGGAATTCCAGAGGATTCCAGAGTTTTGGGAATTCCAGCAGGATTCTGGGGTTTTGGGAATAGCAGCAGGATTCCAGAGTTTTGGGAATTCCAGCAGGATTTCAGATTTTAGGGAATTCCAGAGGATTCCAGGGTTTTGGGAATTCCAGAGGATTCCAGGTTTTGGGAGTGGCAGCAGGATTCCAGATTTTTGGGAATTCCAGAGGATTCCAGGGTTTTGGGAATGGCAGCGAGATTCCAGGTTTTAGGAATGCCAGAGGATTCCAGGGGTTTGGGAATTCTAGAAGGATTCCAGGGTTTTGGGGATTCCAGAGGATTCCAGGGTTTTGGGGAATGCCAGCAGGATTCCAGGGTTTTGGGAATTACAGAGGATTCCAGGTTTTGGGAGTGGCAGCAAGATTCCAGATTTTTGGGAATTCCAGCAGGTTTTCAGGTTTTTGGGAATTCCAGCAGGTTTCCAGGGTTTAGGGAATTCTAGAAGGATTCCAGGGTTTTGGGAATGCCAGCAGGATTCCAGGGTTTGGGGAATAGCAGCAGGAGTCCAGGGTTTTAGGAAGGGCAGCAGGATTCCAGGGTTTTTGGGAATGCCAGCAGGATTCCAGGGTTTTGGGAATTCCAGAGGATTCCAGGTTTTGGGAGTGGCAGCAAGATTCCAGATTTTTGGGAATTCCAGCAGGATTCCAGGCACTTGGAGAGCCCGCAGGGCTGGCTGGGAACATTTTTCCATCCTGGGAATGGGCAAAAAGCCCCACGGGAGATCCTTGGGGGCTTTTTGGAGAGGTCAGGCGGGGATAAAGGGAGACGGGGAGGGTTTGTGGAGAGTTATCCAGGAGACTTATCCAGGGATTTACAGCCCCCAAAAACGACCCCAAAAAGACCCCAAAAATGGCCATATTTCAAGCAGGAGGATCCTGGGGATGGAGCAATCCCGGAGCACCCGAAGGCAGGGCTGGAGAGGGGACACGGGGCCATCACACGGGATCGTCATTCCCGCGTCCTCTTGGGACTGAGGGAGGTGGGATGGGCTTGAGGAACATCTCTGGTGACTGCAGGGCAGCAGGGGACAGGGAATGCCGCCTTTGCGGCACCCAGGGATACTCCAGGGAGGTGGAGAGGGATCCATGGGATTCCTGAGGTCCAAACAGGGCCTGCAGCAGCCACGTGGGTGCCATGAAGGCCAAGTCCTCCTCTCCATGGAAGCTCCATGAAGGAAAGGCCAAGTCCTCCTCTCCATGGAAGCTCCATGAAGGAAAGGCCAAGACCTCCTCCTCGTGGAAGCTCTGTGGATCTTCCATGGAATCAAAGGCCAAATCCTCTTGTCCATGGAAGCTCCTTGGAAGTTCCATGAAAGAAAGGCCAAATCCTCTCATCCATGGAATCTCCATGCAAGTTCCATGAAGGAAAGGCCAAGTAGTCCTCATCCATGGAAGTTCCATGCAAACTCCACAAAGGAAAGGCCAAACCCTCACCTCCATGCAAGCTCTGTGGAAACTCCTTGGAAACTTCATTAAGGAAAGGCCAAGTCCTCCTCTCCATGGAAACTCCATGGAAGCTCCATGAAGGACAGGCCAAGTCCTCCTCTCCATGGAAGCTCTGTGGAAGTTCCATGGAAGAAAAGGCCAAATCCGCTCATCCATGGAAGTTCCATGAAGGAAAGGCCAAACCCTCACCTCCATGCAAGCTCTATGGAAATTCCATGGAAACTCCATGAAGGAGAGGTCAAGTCCCCCTCTCCATGGAAGCTCCATGGAAGCAAAGGCCAAATCCTCCCCTCCATGGAAATTCCATGGAAGCTCCAAGGAAGAGAAGCTCCTTGGACATCCCACCTCTCACCAGCACCCCAAAACCAAGGGCTGGGGCTTGCATCCCAGGAAGCTCCTTCCCACCTGTCCACACCTTCGGACCTGGGAGGTGACTCCAAGAGCGCAGGAAGGGGAGTTTAGGGATCGGGAAGGGATGAGGAGATCTGGATCTCCCCACGTCCCACGGGAAGCTCACGTCCCTCTCTGCCCTCCCCTGGGTGTCTCCACGGCCAGGCCACCGCCATGTCCCACGCCAGGCTGCTGCTGCTCCTCATCCTGCTGGGAGCTGCCGGCACCGGCCGGGCCCTCAGCCTCTCCAACGCCGCCTCCATCTTCAGCTGCCTCAACGCCGCCCTGTCGGAGGCGCACAAGATCCTTCCCGAGGAGAACGCCGTCCTGGACAAGCGCGGCTCCGAGTCGCCGTCCCTGGAGGAGGCGTCCGAGGAGGACGCGGCGGAGGAAGAGCTGGGGAAAAGGACATTCCCGGGGGATGGCCACTACAAATACGTGTCCCAGGCGCAGGTGAAGGGCAAGACCTACCAGAACCAGGCCAAGAGCGACCGGCGCACCAAGGTGACGCTGTCGCTCGACGTCCCCACCAACATCATGAACATCCTCTTCAACATCGCCAAGGCCAAGAACTTGCGGGCCAAGGCGGCGGCCAACGCGCACCTCATGGCCCAGATCGGGCGGAGGAAGTGACTGGGCCGCCGCCGCAGGGGACTGATGGCCGGCTGTGACATCGGCGCTGCCACCATCGAGCGACCTCACGTCCGTGTTCCTCCTCCTCCCCTTCTCTCCTCCCCGCTGTCCTCCGTCATTCCTTCCGGACATTTCCACGCGCAGGGAAGAGGTTCCTGTCCCCAGCCGGGCGCAGGGGACGCGTCACCCGGGAAGGTTCCTGATTAAAGCTGTGATCTCTGGAGTTTCCAATGCTCTGTTGTCCCATCTCCTGCCCCGGCTGCTCCCTTGGGTCTGTAGGGATTCCGAAACCTCCCCCAGCTCAGCCTCGTGGCCCTGTCCCCACCACAGCCCTCCCAAATCCCGCCACAGCAACCAATCCACAGGGATGGGAAAAGTACAGGAACAACCTCAGGAGAGATTTCCCACTTCCTCCTCCTGGGATTTCCTTGAGTTTGTCACCAGCACCTTCAGCATCAACCTCCCCACCCACACAGCCCCGTTGCCCTCTGATGGGCCCTGGCCATTGTCACCCACACAGCCCAGGTGTCCCCTGATGGGCCCTGGCCATTGTCACCCACACAGCCCAGGTGTCCCCTGATGGGTCCAGTCAGGGCCACCCACACAGCCCCATTGTCCCCTGATGGGCCCTTGGCAGAGCCACCAATATGGCCCCGGTGTCCCCAGATGGGCCCTGGCCATTGTCACCCACACAGCCCAATGTCCCCAAATGGGTCCGGCCAGGGCCACCCCACAGCCTCAGCTGGGTTTGGATCCCAGGACCTGCAGGTGGCTCTGTGGCTGCTCCAAACCCACCCTGGGTCCCACCACAAATCCCCCCCTGTCCCTTCCCACTTTTCCTCTGCTCAGTTTTCCAGCTGGTCCAGCTCTTCACCCACAGACCATCCGTGCTCACCCCGCTCCTCCCTGGCCCCCCACGCTCCCACCCGTCACCTTGGAATATTCATCCCTTCCGCTAAACCTTCCTCTCCACCTCCCAGCCCCGCTGAAATTCCACCTCTTCCCTCATCCCTGCACGCAGCAGGTTTGGGAGGTGGAGAGAAATTTGGGAAAGAAATTTGGGAGATAAATTTGGCCCTTCTTTCCTGGGAGGTGCTCACCAAGAGGATGAAATGAGACCCCGCCAGCCCCACCCAGGGGACATGGGGACATTCCAGGTGGGACACCACGGGACAGCCAGAGGGCTGGAGATGTCCTGGTGGGTGGGAAACGTCCTGGAGAGCCACCAGAGGGACAACGACCTCCTGCCTCAGCTCCAGGGGTGCACAGGGTGGGTCTTTTCCTATTGAAATCCGCTGGAATCTTGGATTATATGGATTTTTATAGCCCAGCAAATTCCTGGTGTTCTCATCCAGCAGGACGCGGGCATTGTCCCCATTTTCCATGCAGGGAAACTGAGGCACGGGAAGAACAAGGTCACACCTGCTCCGTGTCCAGTTGGACACTCATCCCTTTGTGGGCTGTCCAGGTGTCCCCAGGTGTCCCAGGCTCAGCCATCAGGATGTTCAGAGCATCCTTGGAAGGAGGGATTTGCTCAGAGCCCAGGGAGAAATCCCTGCTTTGAGCAGAAAGTTGGGAGAGGTTTCCCGCTGGGATTCCCAGGAAAGCACCAATCCAGGCTGGGAACAGCTTTTCCCCCCACCAGCCCTGCTTGGGATCCTTTCCCAGCTCCTGGCTGGACAAGGAGAACATCCCAGCCCTGTGGGAGAGACTGGAAATCCAAACATCGCCTGCCTGGAGCTCCCATGGGATCTTCCCTCTCGAAGGAAGGAAATTCCCAGGGAAGTGGGAAGGGATGAGCTGAGGGATCTGCTGGTTCCAGGCAGAGCTGAGGCAGGGACAGCTCTTATCAGCTGATAAGGAGTGGTGGGGAAGGCAGGGATCCGCCCTTCCCAGCTGCATCCTGGGGGAGAGTCCCACCCACAAATGGATTGTCCTTCCCAAATGGATTGTCCTCAAATGGATCCTTTCCAAATTAATCTTTCTCAAATGAACCCTTCCCAAATGGATTGTCCTCAAATGGATCCTTCCAAAATTCACCCTTCCCAAATTAACCTTTCCAAATGGATCCTTCCCAAATGAACCCTTCCCAAATGGATTGTCCTCAAATGGATCCTTCCAAAATTCACCCTTCCCAAATTAACCTGGCACCTGGATAAACCCTTCCCAAATGGATTGTCCTCAAATGGATCCTTTCCAAATTAATCTTTCTCAAATGAACCCTTCCCAAATGGATCATTCTCAAATGGATCCTTCCTAAATTAACCTTTCCAAATGGATCCTTCCCAAATGAACCCTTCCCAAATGGATTGTTCTCAAATGGATCCTTCCCAAATTCACCCTTCCCAAATTAACCTTTCCAAACGGATCCTTCCCAAACAAACCCTTCCCAAATTAACCTTTCCCAAATGGAAGAGCAAACGAGAGGTGCTGCAAGAGTTCCGACATTCCCAAGGACAGCAGGATCCTGAATTCCATCCTGGGATCGAGGAGGATCCAGCCCCACCTGCTGAGGGACAGATTCCAAAAATACATTCCCAGTATTTTGGGGATACACCCACATTCAGATCCATGGGGGTTTTGGCTGGGAAAACCAAGGCAATTCCCAGCAGCAATCAGGACACGGAATGGGATGGATTTGTAGGGAATTTTGTCAGGAGCTCTGGAGCAGGGGCTGCAGACCCACCTGGAGCCATCCCTGGTGGAATGAATCCCCTTCCCGGGATGCCTGCCCTGCTCCTGGAATGTCCTGTCCCACAGCTGGGATGTTCCTGGGATTCCTGCCTGCTCCAGGCTGGCCCAGGTGGGGCTGGGATCACTTATCCTGGGATTTGGGGCATTCCCACCAGCCAGGAGCTCCTCATGGATTCCCCTCAGCACATGGACAGGAGATGGAAAATCCAGAGCTTTTCCCAAATCCCAGCCCCAGCTCCATGGGCTGCTGGGTGGGATCTGCTCCGTGTCATTCCCATGTGCTTTTCCTTTGCTTCTTCAGCCATCCCCTTCCTGACCAGTTTTTAAGGATTTTTTTTTTCCGGGAACAGCCTCATTTCCTGCTTTCCTCAGATGATCCCAACCCTCCACTGAACCCAAGCAAGGTTTGGGACAGACCAGGAATGTCCAAGGGGACCAAACCATGATTCCCATGGAGCTGTTCCCACATCCCAAATCTGGATCAAGTTTTAAAATGTCCGTTTTCTGGGACACCTCACGTCCATGAATTCCCTGATTTTGTCTGTTTTGCATGGAAAATAAAACCACTGTCCACCTGCAATGGGATTGGTCTCACTGGTGACTTCAGTCCTGGCTTTGTCCCCTCTCCCACAGCTTTTCCAGGTTTTCCAGGACATCCCTAATTCCCCATTTCTGATGGGAATTTTCATCCCTATTTCAAGGCAGGGACACTGAGGGGTGGAGGAGTCCCCTCCCCACCGGTGTGCCAGGTGCCTCATTCCCTCTGGAAGTGAGATCCAGCTCAATGGGGAAGGCTTTGGCTTTTCCTTATCCATGGTTTGGGCTCAGGAGGGAAGAGGAGTCAAAATTCAGGATTATTTGGGATCAAGGAGCTGGAGCTGCCCTGGAGCTGGGACAGTCCAAATTTTCATGGATCCAATCCTGGAAGAACCATCCCAGTTCCATGATCCCAGCCCAGGAGCCCCATCCCCAGGAATTCCAGCATTTGGGAAATGAGGGTGGAAAGCAGAAATCCCATTCCCAGCCCTGAAGGTTGCAAGGGAAGTTTGGAAAATGAGCTTTATCCTGTAAATAAATTAACTTAAATAATTGATTTTCCCCCAGAAAAAAACAATGAAAACAATTTTCCTGAATTCACAGGAAATGCTGATGGACGTTATAGGGAAACCAGCACAGAGTGAGGATTTAAAAGCCAAGAAAACCCCAAATTCCATGGATTTACAGGTGCAAATCCTCCAAAGCACCTCCATTTCCCACCTTGACATTCCCAGAACTCTTGAAGCCTTTCCCAGCAGGAGGGGACACGTTTTTGTGTCCAACAATTCCAAGAGAGCAGCATTCCAGCAGCTCCTGCCTGATCCAGGGGGTTTGGGATCTTCTGGACCTCTTCAGGTGTGGTGCTCCCACCTCCAGCCAGGTGAATTCCACAAAGGACAAGGGCAGATTTGGAGGAGAATATTCCATCAGTGCCATGATCCTGGCTGGATCCTCCATCCATGATACCCACAGCTCCCAGGGGAGGCAGGCAGGTCTGGAATTGTCCCTTCCCTAAGCTCCTGGAGCGCTGCTCTGTCCTCTTCTCTGCTGAAAATTCATCACTTTTAATTAATTAAAGAGGCTTTTCCCAGCTCCTAAAGCTGCTAGGGCTCGGAGGCTGGAAGGAGGCATGGAAAAACCTCATTCCTTCTCCAGGGAATGCTCCAAGGAAAAGGGCAGCCAGAGGTGAGGCAGCTCCTGGGATTTCCCCCCTCGGTGACCTCCCAGCCCCAGGAGCTCCAGTGAGGACAAAATGGGATTTAAATCCAGCTCCCTTCCCCCAGAGCAGTTCAACATTCCCAAGCCAGCCCTTCAATTCCAGCTTTTTTTTTTTCCTTGGATTCCTTTTTTCCTGCCCAAGCTGCTTTTCTTGGATCACTCACAGCACGGGGAGTCCCCAGAGGAGGAGGAACAACCCTGCTGCAATCCAGGGAAAGGCAGAGGTGAGGCTCAATCCCCTTTTCCAGCTCATCTGCAGCTTCCAGGGATTCTTACATCACGTCTGGAAGCAGCCAGGAGAGGGAAGGAATTTTTTCAGGGAGACAAGGAGCTTGGACACGGTTTTATAGGAGGCTGACAGAGCCAAAGTGCTGGAATTCCCATCTCAACTCCAATTAAATTTCCAGCCCTGGCAGCAGGACAGGGATTGCTTTAGCAGGAATGAGAGGTTTAAGGATTCCCTTGGGAATCTTTGGCAAAAATATGGAAAAAAGTGGATTTCGTCTAAAAGAGAAAGCGTGACAAAGCTCCTTGGCAAAGCTCAGCCTGCAGCTTTTACTGGATGGGTAAAGCTCAGGGAAAAAGCAAAATAAAACCTAAATTTGAGCAATCTGAAAGTAAAAATAAACAAAAATGAGTCATGTGGAGGTTGGGAGTGGGAAAGGATAAAGGAATAAGGGAGATCTTCCCATGGAATCCCGAGGTCCTTTAATCAAACTGAGCCCCTTCATCAACAATTAAAAGGTTTTAACCTTT